TTTATAGTTCAAACTCACTTTCACGTATCTGCTCATAGACATGAGTAGGAGAGAGAGTCAGCTCTTCCAGCTCTGCTGTAATGAATTAGTCCCCCAAATCACTGGGAAGTAACTTCTCAGTTTCCTTTGTCAGAGTCAGGAGTCTGATAACGTTCTTAATTATTTTAGTGGCAGGAGAACAGTGCAAGGATTAGCTCGCGGGTGGGATTGTAATACAGGGTAACATAACACTTTCAGAAACGAAAGTCTGAAATTCCAGTTTCCTTAAGGCTTTCCATTTTGCCTCCAAGTTTAAAGCACATGTTACCAATCGGACGTTGCTTTTGAGTCGTCACGTGCCATGGAGTTCAATGAGAGTGATAACGGACCCAGTATCTCTAACAACATGGTGGGAAGGGCAAGGAGCATGTGGATCGGGGGTCTGCGGGAAGATGCTCTGGGAACAGCCCTTCTGGATCTCCAGTTTGTGTTGCTGGATAAGCACGAGCCTCCTGGCACATGCACAGTGCTTGAATCAATATGCAATGATGACATCTTTGCACGAGGAGGCCATAATGCATTTTAAACCACCATTTATTTCCTTGTCATATGTGCTGTACGTTTATTAGTGATAAGAAGTGGAGCAACAATCACGGTGTTGCGGGGCTCCAGATAAATACGGTCTTATGATTATGGCATGGAGGACTCAAAACCCAAATACTCAGCCATTCCTGCGCTCGGTAATTTTGCGTATTTTTAGCTTCTCTTATATTTAGATCCCTAAGTTCCTGAACGAGCTGTCACCCCAAACCTGCATTTGCCTATACTGCACCATCCCAAAGCTTGCAATAGAAAAGAGTATCAGGCTTTCAGACACAGCATATTTAGAAAAGAGAGAGAGTCTGCCAAATTCCCAAAAACCACTTCCCAATTCCCCTCACGAATAGCAGGAAATTACTTGTTATCAGTGGGTAATTCAACTACAAACGTTATTGATTATCCAACCTCAATCTTTACAGTCTTGACGGCCAAATATTTTGCAATCATTCTCTCTATTTAAAACTAGAAGATGTGATTTTTATTTTGGAAAAATGGAGTTTTTCAATTTTTCTGCATGCCACATCACATTGTGGCGCATCCCTCCAGATTGTCCAGTGTGAAAGCCAGAAGCTTGACTGACAGATGTCAAAGTGTACATCATGTTCTAATACATGAGAAAAACCTACATTATTTTTTAAAAATTCAATATTTGTAAAAATTATATATATATTTTTAAATAACATATTTGCTTTTAGCGTTTGGTATTTGATATTTCCCAGTTCATACTGGAAACTCAAAGATCTAGAGAGGAGATACATGTTTCTTGTATTTGTTTTCTAATTTCATTGTGTTTCTTGAAAAACAATACATTACAGAATCAATCAAAGTATAGGTTGTCTTGTTTGTAAGCTACATAGTCAAATATTTCAGTAGTTTTTCACTCAATTACTGCTAGCTGACTAAATTCAGTTAGTGTAAGAAATTCACTGAGTTCTGAGCTATATTCTCCCTTCCTAGAAAAGCTCCCCTTAGACACCTACTGTGAAAAGATAATTTGATATTTTGGTTATGTGATATTTTTAAATAACATTTTGAGTAACCTTCTGTCATTACTACACTACTACATAGAGTGGCTGATAAATTTAAAGGCCAGTGCATTTCCAGTGCTGTCAGTGCAGTTCCAGAACATCTAAAGAAAAATCCCAGGATCCTCCAACACTTGAAAACTGGTTTGAAACTATCACAAGAATCTAGAGACATACAAAGTTCCATTTTTTCAGATTACAAGAATTTCTAACTTCAAAAATTAGAAGATATTATTCATTGAATGAAACACTGTTTCCATACTATTTATACTGTGATGCTGCTTATAATATAAAATAGCTTCATCCCCAAATGAAAATAAGCACACAACTCTGTAAGAAAGGTTCATAGTCTATTAACATTTTAGGAATGATATTTGAAATATTCATATTCATTGTTAATAACTGTATGCATGGTATCAGCCGTGAAAGTTTTCTGACAAGGTTGTGACTCCTTAGAAATAAGAGTTCAGGTAGGTGAAAAAGAGTATTCATCTCTGTCCTAAATCTTAACAGCATCATTTTTATTAAAACACTAAATAATTTTTAAAATGGAAATCTTTTCAGTTGCTGTAGTTGGAAAAGTTTGTTTTCTTAAATGGATATTTAAGAGATAGATAGATAGATAGATATTTATATATCCAGTGGAAATACTTGTTTCAAAACATTTTTAGTCCTGTTTAGCTTTTTCTGATATTTACCTACAAGCAAAGATGGAAAGAGGCAAACTGAAGATGTTATGCATTGTTTGCTCCCTGCATGCAAGGAAAGATGATAACCATTACATTTTTCCTGCCTGCAACGCTTAGGAACTTGACACAGCTGGCAGAGTGTGTGTTCTGATCATGGACCAACTTTGATGTTTTACATTGTTATTAAACAATAGCAGGCATGGTCATGTAGCAGCAGGATATTATACTTACCGTTCAGTAGACCTGTTTTTATAGAAAGGGACCTCCTGCCTCCTTGCCCCAGGCCATAAAACCCTCTACTGCAGAGATGGTTCTTTGGATCTCTAGCAGTAGGAGGATTCTTGCGGTGTTGTATTGGCTTTTGGCAAGTTAATAAAATAATGTAAACAGCTATTTTGGAAAATGACTGCATGTTCTACACGCTCAGTGCACAGAGAGCTTCTGAGTCACAAAAAAAAAAAAAAAGAAAGAAAAAGATAAATATAACAATGAAAAATCCCATTCAGTAGAGCTTTTTCATCTCTAAGAGATGCTTTACTCGACAGTGGGTATCAATCCTCAAAGTAACATCTGCTATCAGAGGATTTGCAGGTACACCTTTGTTCGCCGCTAACTGAATTTGTGTCAGTATTGTAATTCAGCAGATTTCTGCTTTTCACTCAAACCAGGATTAGCATTGACTTGGGCTGCAGGGCATTCAAGCTGCTGTTCTTCTTTTAGCTATATTTCTCTGTAAACATCTAATTGTTTCAAAAAGTGATGTACAGTATGCGAAAACCTGAATTCGATGCAAATAAGTCTGTGCAGCTCTAAAGTTAACAGGTGTTCTCATTAGCGTAAGTAGACAAGGAACGATTCTTGAATGTTTTATAAACACTTATAATCGTGGCCAAATACATTACTGTAAGTATAAAGATACTTATAGCAACATCTCCTTTTTCTTATTGTGCAATCTCAGCACTTATTAATAGGAGACATGTGTCAGTAAATGAAATACTAAAAGCCAGTACCGGCTTCTTCCTGCAAATAATGCAGCTGTAAACTGCTCTACTACTGATGAATAAATTTCTGGCTAAAATGAGAGTCAACAAAATGAAATCTTTTCACACAGCACATATATATTTTAAATATATCTCTTTGCTTGCACGGAAAGTAGAACATTCATTGTCCCTTTGATTTTTATTTTTGTTTGTTTGTTACAAGGACTGATCATGTTGAGTCTCACTCACATATATCATAAAGTGTTATAGCATGCATATAAAATTGGACAGGAAGGCCATTCATCACTAGGTATTGTCCAGCTGGTAAAACTAAGAAAGACAGGACTTCTCTAGGAAACCATTGCCAATATCTCTGTGTGCGGCGGTGTAATATATGGCTTCAGATTGCAAAGGCAATAACAGTAAAATATTACTCCGAGGAGAAAAGTAGCTTGCAGTAGGTATTCATACATTGCCTTTAGTCTTCATCTGTGGACAAAATGTGCAATTGTCTATTCCCCTACTTCCCGCTATGCACAGACGAGGCTGAGTTGTATCTTAATTATTATCTTTTGCCTCTCTGCTGCGAGTTGGTTTTGGGGACACTTCTTTCTTGCTTCCCAAGTCTGATGACTTCCATCTCCCCTGACTTTGGCATAATGACTGGCAGAAGTCCATCCATCCCGCTCCCATGGCAAGGGCAGCCCGTCCATGGGGCTGGAGGAGAGGGTAGAACTGGCAGGGGGTTACATGGGAGGCTACACGCAGGTGTCTGACATTCAGGATGGTCATCTGCTGCCTGTCTCACATTTTCCTTTTTGCTCTTTGCACTCTGAAGGAAATGTCTGTTTTTCAGAGGCTAATCCAAGTAGTCCACGAT